GAGGGGGTGAATTGGTTTCTTAATAAAAATTAGGTTTTCAAAATTTTCCCCAAATTTTACCGATTAAAAACTGCGTAAATGTAAATAGAGAAGAGTAGAGAAGATTACACAGTAGGTTTATACTGGTTCGGATCAAAAGACCCTACGTCCAGCTTGCTAATCACTCAAAAGAGGATTAACGCTATCACTAAGAACAAATTGTTACAAACAGATTACAAATGAACAGATAAAGATCGAAAAACACCTCTCTTGAAATCCACAAGAGATGAAGAACAGACTTTCCCTAGAGACGAGCACAAGCACACAATCCACTAAGAACTCCACTTAGTGATTCTTATCGCTTCTAGCCTCACACCGAGTTCCAAAAGCCCCTTTCCTTGCAACAAACAGCTTCTCCGGCACTCACAAGCACTTAAATTTTGTATGGAAAGAGTTATTCTTTTTTCCGAGTGCCAAAGCAGAGTTTAAGTAAGGAAATAGGGTTTAGGAATTGGGGATTTCGAAACTAGGGTTCTTGGTAATTGGGTTTTCGAAAATAGGGTTAATTTGAAATTTAAAATGAAAAAACAGATCGAAATAATCGATTATTTGGAGTGATAATCGATTAAAACGAGCCAAATACGTCGAACCCAAACCTCTCCGGAATAATCGATTATTTGGTGAAATAATCGATTATCCAGTACTGAACAAGTACAAAACAATCGATTATTTTGTCGTTTTAATCGATTAAAACGAGTGAGTTTGTATAGAAAGTGTTTTCTCACTGTTTTAATCGATTATTTACCTATATAATCGATTAAAGCCGAGCCTAAATGATAAATTTGAGCTTTTTGAAGCTTCTAAGTTACAGACTATGTACCGGCTATCTTAGACTCTAAAAATACAGACTCAATCTTAAATAAAACAGAGTTATTATAATACAATTATCACCAATCTTCAATCTTCAATATTCTAAGTCTTTAGTTCTTGGATCATCATCAAAATCCATTCTTCATATTCATCAAGTGCAACATCAAGTCCTTGAATTGTCAACAGAGGCGTTACCAGAAACTCAATGGATATCTGCCTACTTAAGAGGCCTAACCAAGATCAACAAATCCCAGAGGATTCTTGCCCACCTAAGAGGCACTCATCAAAAATTCCCGACAACCAGCAAAATCGGATTACCACTACCAAAAGATAAAAATCAAAGAATCCCCAGCAATCAACAAGCTGGATGAACACCAACAAAATCCCCGGCACAGACCAGATGACAATTCCCAGAAAAGACAAACAAAAACAAAGAAAGAACACACCTCAACGCTTGGCGCATGAGCTAGAGCAGTAAGCCGCCATCACTGCCAAAGGATCAGCTACCGCAAGAAGGAGCATCCGGGGGCACAACACCATATGGGGGTGTATACTCATCAGGCCTTACAAAAGGGGGCTTACCGGGTGAGAGTTCATACTCGTCAAAACCAGATGGGGGTTCGTACTCATCAGCCGAAGGGATCAGCTACCGCAAGAAGGAGCATCCGGGGGAACAACACCAGATGGGGGTGTATACTCATCAGGCCTTACAAAAGGGGGCTTACCGGGCGAGGGTTCATACTCGTCAAAACCAGATGGGGGTTCGTACTCATCAGCCGAAGGGATCAACTACCACCAGAAGAAGCGTCCTAGAAGCACACTTTTTTTCCGAAAGATCAACCGCCACAAGACGGAGCGTCTGAAGGACAACCGGGCAAGAGGGTCAACTCCTTTACCCTCTAGTCGATCTCCTTGGCACAAAAGGCCAGCAGTCGACTAGTCGGGAAAAGGGGGGGCAACTGTAGACCCCAAAACTTGCCCGGCCTCATAATAAAGACAAGAAGACCTCCTTTTCGAAGATGGAAGAAGCCTAAGAAGCAACTAGGAGAGACTATTAGGCCCCATACTAGGATAGGAGGGTTTCCTGGCACAAAAATAAGGATTTTCGCCTTTGAGGGTCGAGACCGCCGTCTCGCCTTGCGCAAGTGGCGAGACCACCGTCTCATTTGGTGAGACGGCCGTCTCGCCACCTGCGAATGGTGAGACCGCCGTCTCGATTGACGAGACGGCTGTCTCGCCATTCCTGCAATGCGAGACGGTCGTCTCGTTTGGCGAGACGGCCGTCTCGACCTTGTCAGACGAGACGACCCATCTCGACCTAACAGGCGCGAATCCCTATAAATAGGGGCTCCATTCCCCTCATTCCACATGGTTTTTTCACTCTCTCTCTAGTCACATCACCAAATTCTCTCTCTAGAATCCCTCCGAAGCATTTCCGGAGTTTCTGAGCGTTTCTAAGAGTGTTTCTGAGCGTTTTGAGAGGTTTCCGACGCTGTGTAGAGTGAAGGGCTGCCGCAAAGCACCCTATTTTATCAAAGAATTAATAGAAAAACTTGTTTCGGAGGTTTATACTTTCTCTCTCTACCTTTTACTGCCTTATTTTAAACTACGCAATAGATATTAGGGTCATGTAGTCATAAATTTAAATTCTGCAAAATAAAGGGTAAAAGCGTATTTTCTAGTTTATTTATCCGAAGTAGCTAGCCTATCATAGGGAACCCGAAAGGGGCGTCGTAAAGGAACTAACACTTCCTTTACGCGTAACTAACTCCCTTACCCAACTCTGGTTCTAATGACCAAAGTTGGTTTTTCGAAAACCAACGCCTTTTAATTCCTTTTCCGACGTTTCCGGTAAAAATGTCGGTGGCGACTCCAAAGAACCCTTCAAAACTAACTCTTGGATTAGCCCGGTTATCGGACAATCCAAGAGCACTCTTTCGAAAACCTCGCCCCTAGGTTCAGCCCGGTTATCGGACAACCTAAAGGCATTGTAACCACAAAAAAAACGCGAAAAATGGAAAGTCGAAACCATCGCATCGCTCCGACCGCCTCTTTTTGATGACGACGACAGTCCCTAAGTGTTTTTTCTTAGAAATTCACATTTGTCCAAAAATTTGACAGAGTTTTCCCTGTAATACAGACTTCCCAAAAATTTCCAATCACCTGTTACAAGCAGAAAACTTCCAATACAGTTCAAAAAGGGTTCACAACCCATCATCCAATTCTTTCAATTTAATTTTCAATGAACTTTCTCATGAAAAACCACCATGCATATAAATGCTCACTCAAAGACCATACATATCATAATAGAGTACCAAACATATATTTTACACCATCATACACGTAAGCAATTCATTATCACTTTCATAACCAAGCATATAATGAAATCAAAATTATCAATCATAACAAATTTAGACAACTTCAACAAATAAGGTCAAACAAGTTTATGATATAATCCTTACTATATAGTCCACCCCTTACCTGATACGTTCACACTTATTCCTTTCAAAGCTTAATGTTGTGTTTCAGCAAAATCTATATACGTAATAAAATACTAGTTAGAATTTTATATTTCTATGTTTCTATCTCATGAGAATTTAAATTCACTTTGTGTTGTTAATCCATTTCTAATAATATTTTAAGCTCACATTAACTTACCTCTTTGGAGCTTGTCAAGAAAATCAAGATTTTTCTGTCAAAATCAATCTTAAAGATAAGAAAAGTTTTGAGAGAAAGAGAGAAATGAGGAAATTACGGCTGCAGATTAGATTTCCAAAAATTTATCCACTATTTTCTTCTATTTACTCTAGTCAGAATTTGAATCCACAACCCGTAAGACTCAAACATCACTCCAAACCATATCAACCATTGTCAACTTATACACATAATAAACTTTTAATATACACACATTCAATGCATACAAGAAAACAATAATTTCTAAATGTGACAATTAAAATTATTAAGTCCATACTCAAAGTTTAGGCACTCACATGAGTATTTTCTAACAATTATAAAATAATAAAAAAATTATAATTATTCTAATGCATATACACGAATTGAACTCATGACCCTCCAATCTTATGACAAGGGTCTAACCAAATGATTCACTCCTCATCTCTACAATATTATTAAATTCTTAATTTAATTTAATTACTTCTCTCACTTTCCATTTCTACCTTAGATTATATAATTGTTATCCGACACCTAACTGCTCGCAAAACGGGTCAATTTTAAGTATTTTCTAAAAATTCTAGAAAAGTTCTAAAAAATCACAAATAATTTAACAAACATAAAACTCTACAGTTACTTTACCTAATTCTTAATAATTTAATTATTAAAATTTTGACAAAAAATTTATCAAAATTTAACAAACCAGGTATTGAGAATGAGATGTTACATATTCCTCTGGTCAAGTGACCACTCAAGTCCTAGAGACCAAGTCCTCGAGACCAAAACTTGTAATCTACCATTTATATAGAATAATTAAAGGATAGTTATCAACTTCTTTCAGGGTAGTCTTTGCTTATGAACTGACAAACTGCTAAAAATATGCATTAGGAGACTAAGTAAATTATGGACACTAACAACAAATAAAGGAAGGCTAACAACTTATTTCATAGTAGTCTTTGTTATGTTGAAAAAAAGAAAAGAAAAGAAATAAAGTATACTTCGCAATTTGACATGATGATGAACTACCAATTTATTATTTATCAATAAAAACAATCAAACAAACTGCAAGCAAAATATATTATATACTAAACTGGTCATATGCATCTCTTATGCACACCACCATAATTCATCGCTTCCATTATCTCAGTATCTTTGCTCCGGAAATATCACTTTCCCTAGCCCCTAGCCATGTTCGAAGGTGGTTCTGCGCTGCATTTATTGACATGAAATAACACTAGTCAAACAAACATCTAAAAACATTTTAAATTCACAGCGACATGAACTCGTGTGATACATTTTAAATTTGTTCAACATTTTTAGCACCTAAACTCGTTATCAAGAATCTTCACAGCAGCGACAACAAAAACAGCAAATTCAAAGTTCAACAGTCTGACCACAAATGCAGTCAATACAACAGATGGAGCAAGGAAATAAACAACGCGTCGGAATTAAATAGGGCTAAAGAAACCGAAGAACCTGTGTCATCGTTTAGTTGCTTTCGGCTTTTCATCGGCGAGAGCTTCCTGTTCAAGACGCTCGAATCGCTGGTAGGGTTGAAGGCCAGAATCGTCAACGTTATCGACAAAGTCCAAAGGATTCATCCCGTTTTCGAACCTAAAAGTGTACTCCTCCTCTTCTTCCATGTCATTGTCATCTTCCTCCTGTGGTGCGTTTTCTTCCTCCTCTTCTTCCCCGTCATCGTCTTCAGACGGTTCTTCCAAGCTTTGAAATTGCGTTTTTGACCGATCTATAGCTTCCGATTCTGTTGGTAGCTTCTAGGATGAACTATCTACACCTGAGCCATTGATTAATTATGTTTTTACTTCTTTAAATTTGATAACTTTGATTTTATTTTTTAAACGAAAAATTATTTTAATCATGAAATAATTTTAACCTTAAAGAATATATTTAAAATGTGATATTTAAAACTATTTTTTAATTTTTAAAATTTAGAATTTATTTTATTTTTTAATTTTCAAAATAGTTTTATACATATATTTAAAAAAATTGAAAAAAAACATATTTTTATAAAATTATTTTAGAGAAAAGAAAATGATTTTGACTGGGACAAAAAATAATTAAAATATAATATTTATTATTTTATAAAGATAAATTATTTAATATAATTATTAATAAAAATTGAATATCATTAATAAAAATTAAAGATAAAAAACAAATTTTTTATCAGTACTAATTTTTAATATTTTAAAATAAAAATAATTTTTAAAACTGTTTTAAATAATTTTTAAATTTTTAAAATTAAAAAACAAAAACCTTTATTTAAATACTAAACAAATAAAAAATTACTTTTTAATAATTAAAACTGAGGGATTAAATTTTCCTTTTTTAAGTTAAGAAACTAAAATAATATTTACTTCAAATTTCAAAAAGATAATTAATTTTCGTTGTCTCATGTAACATTTTCGTTGTCGCATTTAACATTTTGACAGTGGGAGGGATTGAAAAAGAAAAGGTTTAAATTATCATCTTAATTTTTTTAATAATTATTTAATTTTTTAGCCGATAGATCATTTGATGCACTCTTTCAGTGTAGAATCCTCCCAGGTTTTGCATTGTTTCATCCATGTTTTCTTCTTAACTTCGTGATCGTTGGAAAAAAAAAACTTTTCTTGATTATTTTTCATCAAACAATCGTATATATCAAATAAAAAAATTAAACATGAATTTAATACAAAATTTGAATTAAACTAAAATATTATTATGAAATTGTCAAAACATTTTTTATAAAAGAATGATAGAACATTTTATAATGCAATTTTTTTAAATAAAGAGATGTAATATGATTGTTTATATATAGTTATTATTATGTTTATAATTTTTATTTATTTTATATTCATTAATTACCATTTAAAATTTATATCATATTTTTAGATATGGTGTAAATACATTATAAAAGAAATGAATATTTATTAATTGATAATTAGTTTTAATATATCTAAATATAATAATCGATTTTGTTTAGTTCTTAATTTTAAATCTAAAAATTAATTAATAGTTTGGTTTAAAAAAATAATCCAAAGAAATTACTAAAAAATCAATTTTGATTTGAATATTTAGATCAATTTTATTTTGAATATCCTTATTTACTATATTAATTATATGAGATAGTTGCTCTTCTTATTTTCTCTTCTATACTTTTGATTAAGACTTTCCATTCTAAATATGTGAGTTGTTCTAAGTGCATAAACAAAATTTAAAACATTTCATATTGTGTTATCAAGGTAGTTTTCAAATTAGATTATCTAGATAATGGGTAATATAGAATGCAGTTATTTTGGATTATGTTATTCAAGAAATTTGTGGTTTGGATAATCTAGAACGTAATCGCATTAAGTTATCTACAGAACTTCTAAATTGGAAATCCTAAATTACTTCTTTTTAAATTACCCAATCCAAAAATGTGTAAAACTTAATTTGAAAGAGTTATAATTGATGCAGATTACTAATATTTTAAATGAAGTTGACATGTTTTTAGGTATAAATGATGTTAAGATAGTTGACTATGTCCCTTGCAATTAAGAAAATTGAATACACATTTGCACTTATGTCTTCACAATGAATAAGGTAGAGTTTAGTCTTATATAAATGTTCTAAAACCTTAAAAATGTCATTTATAATGATTTTGTAATGGGTTGTTATATATGTTTATTATGCATAATGATTTACTAATATTACCAAATATTTGGATTTGTAAGTGTGATATTGAGGTTGGATACAAGAAATTATTAATAAGGAAGGAAAATATATGTATTGTTAAGTTATGAGGTAGGATGATAAATATAGATTATACATTAAATATTTGCTAACAAGTGGTAGTGGAAGTAGAAAATATGAGTATCTTTTTAAATTTCAAGGAAAACTCATAAGGAATGGTGAAGGATAATTATGAAATTAGTTTGTGCATGTCATAATCATGAATTAATGATGGGGACATGACCATGAACAAAGACAATGATCCACTTGAAGAATTTGGAGGACCTGTGACAAAGTTAGAGTAAGAGAAACAAAGGAAGCTCTTGTATATTATTTGAATACAAACCCACATTTCAAGGTGAAAAGACCAAAGTTGTAAATTGCATTATGATCCAAATGGAAGAAGACTAATGTGTCACTTTGTTTCAATCTTTAAGTTTGTTTAAATAATGACTCAATCCTTTGTAAAATTGGTTGACCAAATTATGTTTTTGGTTAATCAATTAATGGACTTTAAGTTTGGTTTTGTTTCAAGTTGTAATAAGGGCTAAATTGGAAACTTAGGCATAAGCTTTTGGAAGACTAAGAGGGTGCATAACTGATTGATTTTTTATTGCCACAATTTCATTACAATATCCATTAAGTAGTTTTCAATTCCTAGATTAATGGATCATTATTAGTATTTATTTGCCTCCATTAAATAGTTTTCAATTCCTAGATTAATGGATAATTATTAGCATTTATTTTCTTTTATTGAGTTTTGTGACTCTGATGACAAAACTTCTATATAAGCTTAACCATTTTTATTAAAAAGATAAGTTGAATTTTATTCAGAAATATTAGAGTTTAGCTCTTTTATCTTTGTGAGAGTGATTCTCCTAAGTTCTTGAGTGATTCAAGAACTATTGGTTCACTACAAGAAAAAACCATTTTAGCGACCGAAAAAATCGGTCGCTAATGTCAAAAAATCGATCGTTAATCGGTTAGCGATCGAAATTAATATATCAAATTGGTCGCTAAATCAATAATAAAATTTTAAAAAATAGCGACCGATTTAAATCGGTTGCTAAATCAATAACAAAGTTATTTATTTACATTTTTAATTATATTTATTATTTATTTCCCTACCTCTTTGTATATTATATTTTTTAGAAGTTTAACTTATTACTAGGTTTATTGTCATTGTCGGGATTCAAACCCAGTACCTTAGAGTTGGAGGCTGAAACTCCAACCACCGAGCTACTAGGATCTTTTAATAATAATCTACAAATAAATTATATTTATATACAAATAAATGTATATCCGTATAAATATATAAATATAAAATCTATAAATAAAAATATATTTATATATTTTAATATATATTTAAATATTGATATATTTATACATTGATATATTTATATATTTATATTTTGATATATTTATATATTGATATATTGATATATTTATTTATATCCTTATACATTTATATCTTTATATATTTATATATTTGAAAAAAAAAATTAATATTAAATTTTAAAAATAATATTATATTTTCAAAATAATATTATATTATTAAAAATAAATATTAGAAAAAGATTTAAAAAAATATATAAATTATATTTACATGTACAAAATATTAAAGATATATATTTATATCTTTACATATTTATATATTTATATCTTTATATTTTATATCTTTATATCTTTACATATATTTATATCTTTGTATCTTTACATATATTTATATCTTTATATATATATATATATATATATATATATATATATATATATATATATTTATATCTTTATATATTTATAAAATCTATAAATACAAATATATTTATATATTTTAATATATATTTAAATATTATATATTGATATATTTATATATATATATATATATTTATATATTTATATATTTATATATTTATATATTTATATATTTATATATTTATATATTTATATATTTATATATTTATATATTTATATATTTATATATTTATATATTTATATATTTATATATTTATATATTTATATATTTATATATTTATATATTTATATATTTATATATTTATATATTTATATATTTATATATTTATATATTTATATATTTATATATTTATATATTTATATATTTATATATTTATATATTTATATATTTACATATTTATATATTTATATATTTATATAATACATATTTATATATTTACATATTTATATATTTATATATTAATATATTAATATATTTATATATTTATTTATATCTTTATATACTTATATCTTTATATCTTTATATATTTATATATTTAAATATTAAATTTTAAAATAATATTTTATTTTTAAAAAATAATATTAGAAAAAGGTTTAAAAATATATATAAATTATATTTACATGTACAAAATATTAAAGATATATATTTATATCTTTACATATTTATATCTTTACATATTTATATATTTACATATTTATATCTTTATATATTTATATCTTTATATTTTTACATATATTTATATCTTTCCATATTTATATATTTATATATAAAGATATTAGTTTTGTTTACAAATAATATTATAATATAGTATATTATACTATTAGTATAGTATATAAATAATATATTAGTATAGTATACAAATATTAGAAAAAAGATTTCAAAATATATATAAATTATATTTACATGTACAAAATATTAAAGATATATATTTATATCTTTACATATTTATATATTTATATTAAAGATATCCACATTTAAAACAATATTAAAAAATATTAAAGTTATACTTTAAATTAATGAAAATATTTTAAAAAAGTTATATTTATTAAAGTATTAAAAAATATTTTGTAATATATAAGTTAAAAAAATTATCATTAAATTTTTTTAAAATTATTAGTTTTGTAATTTATATATAATGAAAATAATATAATGGTATATTAGTATAGTATAGTATATTTGTATTCTAATTTTTAATTAAATTAAAATTATGCTAATAATGTATAATAATATATGAGGGGATAATAAATTTAATCCAATTACATTTATATATATATATATATATATATATATATATATATATATATATAT